GCAACAAGACATTATCATGCCATGGAAGGCATAACAATACCGCTTTTCCCTCCCGTATCTGAATCGTCAATGCAATGGGTACAGCCCAGTGGCTTACTCTATCTTTCAAACGTATTCTTCCATGCCCCAACTCCGGTGCTATACTTCCAATCATAGAGATTCAAACGTGCAAAAAGTCTTGGAGCAATTGTCGCCGCATCACAATACCTCCAACGAGCCAGTATTCAATAGTGTTCTCACATCACAACACACTTCTTGTCCTTCTCTGATTTACCATGAGTGGCATTCCTACTAGACGTGGAAACTTCCGTCCACGCAGTAGAGCTCGCGACCTCGTGATCAACCTGCTTCTTCTTTTTCTTCTTCTTTTGGGAACCATTCCAACCGCGCCGTTTCGCGTCCTTGATGTTCTTAGCTGCACTCCGCTCGGCACGACTGGGTCTTCTGTTGACCGAAGAATGCGACTGCCGGCCCGCAGACGAAGTCGACGGCGCCTGTAACCATGCCGGCATCAGACTTCTGCTGCCAGAAGCTTCAGGCCGGTTTGTGGTGTTTGTGCTGTATATCGTTTCGAGACGTTCCACCGTTGGTCGTACCGGGCCCGATTGGGTTGGGCGTGGATGACGCGGGATCGGGGCCAGTAGAGGCATCTCGGTTCTCCGGTTCGATTGCTGACGAGTAGGCGCATCGAATGCGCCAGTGACGCCGCTAGGTGTGCTGATGATCAATGGTTGGTCTTCGAACTGTGATTCGGCAACTTGAGTCTGATTCTGAGCTTGTCCCTGGGCTTGAAAAGCAGGCTGCGAGACAGGCTGTGGGACAGATGCCCGACGAGATCCAGGTCGGCGGCTTCCCACTGGTACGCGCTGGACTGAGCTGAAGTTTCCAGAAAACCGTCTAGATGGAGGCAGCTGCTCATGGCCCCGCAGACTAGCCAACTGATCTGCCATGGGGAATGGTGGCAGTGAAGACTCGGCAATCTCGTCGACTCTTGCGTCAGTCGCAGGAGCGGAGTAGGGGTGGCTGTTTAAGGGACCGCCATCTGGACGAAGGTGAAATCCATCACCTGGCTGCGCAGATCTAGGCCAAGTTGACGCATTGGAAAGGCGTCTGACTAACGGCAAGTCAGTTGTAGATGCTGATTGTGGCTGTCGCAGCCCCGCAGCATTTGCAGAGGAAGCTGATGGGATCTCCAAACCCAGCGAGGGAGGCGCCTGAACCTGCTGAGCGACCGGGGATACGACTGATTGCTCGGGAGAAACTGCCTCAGAATCTGAGTGTGTCCCAGAACTTGATGGTCGAGCCTCTGAAACTTGGCTGACCATCCGTTGGTCGTCAGGAGAGATGGCTTGAGTTTCGCTCTGTCTTCTCGCCGCCATCCGTGGGGAGTCTGGTGGCGAGACGTCATAGATATCATCGTCAAGATCAACATGGGCCGAAGGGCTGTGCGTCGGACGAACTGCCGAATCTGCAGTGCGCGGCCGGCTCATGAGCGTCGAGTCACTAGCTATACGCAGATGGTGGCTGGCATTAGTCGGGGGGCTGTTGACCGGCTCTTGATAGCTTAGAGGGCGGCCTGATGATTGAGATAGAGCAGGTCGCGCCGGGAGAGCCCACGCCGATGCGCCAATGGCAGGCGCGGCTGTTTGGGTCCTCGCTGGCTGACTCGGTATCTGCACACCGCCAGGTGTGATGACGGCGTTCCGTAGGAAAGAGGGCAAGTCACCGGGGTCGTCCTTTTGGTAGGGAGGCGGCGGTGGAACCCAGTTGTCGGCGTCGCTCTCGTGAGGATGCTCACGTCGGCCGTCAGCTCGCCGATACTCTACCGGTCCAGCAGCCGGCGGTTGCGGGTGGCGGCTTCGGTTCATAGCAGCAGCAGTGGCAGCGCGACGGAGAGTATTGGTGGAGCGGGGCCCGTCATGCGAGTAAGGGGCTTCGACTGCCTCCTCTGCCTCTTCTTCTCCAATCATCGAGGCGGTCTCGCCTGCCCCATGCGCCGAAGGTGAGGCTGGCTCTTGAACATTGATACGCGGGGCTGCTCCAATTCGCCTTGGAACCAGAGGGTCGTCCTCGCCGTGATCGTTGTCGGCTTGTCGTTCTTCTCGGGGTTGTGGCATGGGCGGCATCGGTGGCATCGACGGTATAGACGGCAAAGGGTTGCTCCGAGCTGCAGCACTCGTAGCTGCACGCATCAAGGCACCGCGATCTCCCCGTTTCTGAGCCACAGTCCTGCGACGTACAATAGCCACTTCGGTATCGATATCTCTTTGCTCCTCTTCGAGCACCTCAGGCTCCTTGGTGCCCACTTCAATCTCGATCTCCGTTCTAACACCATCTTCAATACTGTAGTCAAAGTCTAGGAGGGTAACTCTGCCGCCGTCAATGAAGTCGATGTCGTCCTCCTCAATGATGGATTTTCCAGGAGAGATGCCCCGGGCGGCGATGACGAGGCGCTCCTGTGCCGATGTCTGACCAAAGCCCGCAACCCACTTCACCGTGCTGACACCGTCGAGTTCGGCAATCTTTGCACCCCAGATGAAAGTGTTCCGGAGCTTATCACACAACATTTGCCATTGGGGGATCCTTGGGTTCTCTTGCGCCCGGGACGATGACGAACGCGAGGGAGGTCCACTATTTCTTCTTGCTTGACCAGCCAAGGCTGACAATCCATCCGCCCCTGAGGAGTTGAACTCGGGTACGGCGTCGAGGTCTTCAGGGACACCATAGAGCCAGACATCTTTTCCTTGAAACCCAGCACTGACAAGATCCCCATGGAAAGTCGCTGCGGGAAGAGTGCAAGGCGTGAGCTTAGCCTGAGATCCTGGGTCAGGTTTCGGACCCGTGAAATATGTTGTTCCGTTTCTCAGATCTTCAATGCGTACAGCCCTGAACGTCTCGAAACTACGGTCGTAAGTGAAGGTCCAGCTCGCCTCTTCTTGGGCAGAGTCCTGCAGCAGCACAGCATGACTGCAGTCGCGACTGGTATTAGGGAATAGAATGGACGTAGTCCAAAGCGCGCTGATACTATCATCGGCCATTTGGTTGCCCGGGTCATAATACGGGGCTGTGAGGATGACTGTGGTAGGTGGCGATGAGTGAATCGTAGTTCCAAGGATTTGAGTGCCGTCGAACGAGAAGGACAAGGAATCGACTCCGTCGCATTTGACAGCGCGTCTATCTGTAGGTAACGCGCCAGGGTTGACTAGGGATACTTCGATACCCCCTTCGTACGCAGCAGCTAGGACAGACCCGCAGGGTGAGAGGGCGATAGTGCGCGGAGCATGGTCCAGGATGAGAGATTGGGTGCGACGCGGTGGTGACTGCTCCAGATCATAGAGGTCGACCTGCATTTCAGAAGATAACACGGCTAGCATCGAGCCGTCGTCCTTGATACAGGTCGACACGGGACGGCGCAAGATCTTGAATTCCCTCTTGACATCGATATCCTTCCCCCGTACATCGAGAACGTAAATTCGAGATGAGTTGTAGGCTAGGATATGGTGACCGCGGGGCGACGGACTGAATTGCATTCCCTCGCCGCCGGGGCATGACGAGGAGCTGATGGAATTGGATATCAACTTTATAACGGTTTCGCGGGGTCGCAGGTATGCTTCGAAAAGGTTGCGTTTGACCTCTCTGGCGAATAGTCGCCTCAGGCGCGGAAGATCTTCATCTTTGACATCGGTATCGCGAAGCTGAGGATGGCTCGAGGCATAGGACTCGCATTTGAAGAGGTGGAGGGCATAGAGCTGGGCCTGCTGGGCGACTGATCGCCATTTCGAGTTGAGGAGGACGAGAGACGCAAAGGAGTCGGGGTCAGTGAGCTGCAATATCCTATGGCCAATGTCAGTCAACTTGTAATAGAAGAGAGATTGAGAGAGATGGCAGGGACACAGCCATACTGTTGGATAATCTCGTCCGGGAGGCGATCAAAAGCGGGATCCGGAGCCAGGATGGGGGGTTTGTCAATGGACGACCGTGATCCCACTTCCCCATGTCCTCCAGCGTCAGTGCTGGTGTCCATGATGGACCAAGGGCAGCGCGGTTGCTTGGTTGCTTGCGGCGAAGTTGGTGTCGCTGCGAGGCTAAGAGAGCGAAAGGCGGGAGGAAGTTGACATGATGAATCGTCTGGAGTTTTGGAAAAGGGCCGTTGTTGAGACGAAGGAGGAAGGCAGCGCAGCGCAGTGCAGGAGAAGCAGCGGTAGACGCAGAAACAGAAGCGAGGCGTTAGAGGCAAACGCAAAGACAACAAGTGCAGGAAGCACAGCAGTGTGAGCTGAGTGTGGGATCACAGACTTTGTCTCTATTGGGCCCTTTGGTCTTTAGGCTGGGACTTGGGAATTGGGGACTGAGGGACTTGGACATGCGGCTGCGCGTGCGAACGCAAGCAACATGTGGCGGAGCGACGCTACTGGACCACCTGAAGTTAGCCCAATATCTCTGTATCAGTGGGTGGATGGTGTGAGTGGTGAGTTGCGTGAGGGCATCCTCCAAAACAACCAGGTGCGTTTCTGTCTGCCTGCTGCTGGGCTCATTCTGCCCCCCATCCCCCCCTGTTCCTCACGTACTTTACCCACTGATTTGGCGCTAACCATCGGCGTTGGCACCTTATCGGAAGGTACCCGACCAACCCGAGCTGACCTTGCCTAGATCTTCCGTTCCATGGGGCCCTTGGAGTTTCTTTCCGCAGGCAAACACATTTCAAACAGACCAGGGACCCCCCTTTCTATCAACAAGGCATGACGACCTGCACATTCCAAGTCCTTTCTGTTAAGACTTGGGACTCGGGAGTGCTCAAAAGAACTTTGGATAGTAATGGTCAAAGGTCATGAAGGTGAATGATCGCTTCCTCTGATTCTGCGACACGCTTCGAGGTTCACAACACTACCGATAGCACTACATCAAAGGCAACCAACATGCATCCCATTGCAACCACAGCTGCACCCTCTTAGCCGCTGGATCTGCCATTGTCTTTCTTCCTATCTCTTGGGATGTGGAGATAGAGGCCTTGCTCCAGAGACACAAGGCTTCGCCAGGTCAGTTGGAAGCTGACAACATGAGGCTGAGTCTTGAAACAGTGTAACAGCAGTAGCCTCTCTACCACTTCGTTGGGCTTACTCTTTCTAAGCTTATCTTGGCTTCTACTTGCCTCATCACCATGTGGCTATCGTGAGTCTTTGGTGTCTACTTCAGACACAACATCAAACCGGTGGCGGCTGGCTATCCGTCAAGAACCAACAGAGAATGGCAGACTCGGTCTCTGACTGGTGCAGCTTTGACGCTGTTGGGGAAGACATTGAAACAGGGATGCGGAACCCAAGCGGCAACCTGCGAATCGCGATATGCAGGGAGAGAGCCTACTATCAACTGTGTCAAGTTGAGCCCCGAAGGCGTTAATCAAGTGTCTCTTATGAGCAGCCACCAGTCTCATCTCGACATAACTCTACAAGTGTGAAAGATGGGCCTTTTCACATCTCAGCTAGAAAGGTGGAATGCCCCGCCTACTACCTTGGCCCAACCGCCCGACCTAACTCTCTTCCAACAGCCCACCTCCAACACGCAGAAAGCCCAGCGACTCGCCGAAGTTGCAGAATTTCCGAATGCGGATGCGCAAGATATATCGTCGTGGTTACTTCAAGCCTTCAAGCCCTTCCCAGCGGCCAACCACAGCGAGACGCCAAACACCCTCCGGGCGAAGGGTGATGCTATTTTTGGATCTCGTGGTTGAACACCACATGCTGAGTGGGCGCCTTCACGGCTAAACCCGCCATTCGGAGACCTTCGTCAAAAGGAGACAGCGGACGCCATGTGTAAGACAGACAGCCTGATGCCATCTTATATTGGTCGAAGCATTGTGGCAGATTCGTCCTACCAACGGTATCACGAGACAAGTCAGCTGGCTTCACTTTCTCAATTCTTACCTTTTCGAGGTGCCGGCTTACCTAACCCGGACACGACTCGGCACCGAGTCGGAATACGACAAGAATGGACACCCGGGAGTTGGGAATGTCTCGCCAGCGCTATTTCTGGACCTTGCGAAGTTTTCCCATGGGCCATGAGTCCATGACTGCTGGAGACCTTCCCCAGTATTTCTTGCTTCATCTAAGCAACGGTCCCTTGGAAGATGCCCATATTTACCCCGACTGAATGTTACAGAATAAGGAGCAGTGACGCCAAAAAGCAGGGAGCGATAAGAGCTCTGTGACAGCGGATAAGGATCAACAAGAAATTCTCGAGTCTTGATCCTTGGCACACAGAGGGGCGACACGGCCGGTACTCGAGCAAGGATAGAAGCTCGTCGACGGGCTACGAGAACGCGGAAGCCTCATCTATCAGATGAAGCGCCAAGCCGGCAGCACCCTGCGCAGAGGGAGGAACCGTAGTCCCCTACGCGTGCGTGGCCGTGTTCGTGCCAGGAGCTCTCTGTTACCGGTGCTGTTTGAGCCTGGAAAACTTCATCATGATTCCCTTTTCAGGATGAACTATGTGGCCGTGAACTGCTTGGACAAGTCGGCAACTGATGAGAAGATAGCAACGGGGTATTTTGGCGGCAGTTTTGCTCCGATACGATCAAACAGATGACGATGCCCATGTCTCTCCCTCGGTGAATCACTGCCGTCTTGTTACCGAAAACAGCGAAACCCTAGCTCTCCGGCGGCCTGCTGTTGGACTGTTGGACAACGCTCCAGTGTTTCCAGTGGTCCCCTGGAGGCTGGCGGGGGGTTCGCCGGGTCTCTTTTACAAGGACTTTCTGGCTTCCAGAACGCGCTCCTGGCCAGCTTTACCTGCGTACCCTGCGTCAAGCCGGCCAACAGAAGACACAGGCCCTGGCGACGTCACTGCAGATGGGCCACTTGGCAGTGCGCTGACACAGCCCGTGCCCCCTATCAAGTCTGCAGCGCGCAGCCAGCATGGGGGGGCCCTGGCGTGGAATTGTAGATGGGAAATGGCAGTTGTGTAGTGTGTGAGGTGGGCAGTATCACCCCAGAAAACCCGCATTTCCCACCTCCCGGATCCCTTCTTCACTGAGGTGAGAGGAGTTGGGGTACCCGGCCGTAGCAGTTGGGTAGGCCAAGCCAAAGTTAACAAAGACACGCTCGGCGCCGCCAAGGTTCGACACATTCCATATTGTCGTTCTAGGCGATATCACTCGTCATTCCGAAAGGTGGCCCACCCCTTTCTCTTTGGAACCGATCAATACCGGTACATCTACAACCTCTTCTCGTCCGAGGCTGTCCGCAGGTCCATCTACGATCCCCTCAAGACTCATCTTCGGCGTCTTACCCGCGCCATCTCACTGCTGCAGAAAGTCTGTGAGACTGGCACGGATCCCTCCTCGGAAACGACATGCAGCAGCCGCTAGTTTAGCCTCATTCTCTCGCGTTCACTCACTCGCAGTCTCGCTCCTCCTGCTGCTTTCCCCCGCTCGGCTTTGGGCTCTTGTCTCCCGAAGCAGAGCAGACAGCTACCCACGGTGGCTCTCACGTGGGATCGCGCAGCGCCGCCGCAGCCCGCGGGACCATATGACCTCGAAACATGTTCACCCCTCCTTCGACCCGTCATGGAGACGAGGAACTTCAACTGGCGGAGATACTCTGCGCCAGTTGCCATCGCCAGCATGATCCTAGCGGCCCTCTCCGTCGTCCTCTACTTCAACATTCGTGAATATCTCGCTGTTCGAGATGGCGTCCGATTTGATGTCTCTACTTCTCCCCAAAATTCCCTGGCGGTACGTCGCACAAGAGTACTGACGCTGCGTGACAGGCCAACTTGCCGAGGGTCACCGTCGATCTCGGCTACGCGAGGTATTCTGGGAATTCGCTCCCGAGCGGCGTGAACCAGTTTCTGGGAATGCGGTATGCGGCGCCTCCGATAGGAAATCTGAGATGGCGAGCACCTCAAGATCCTGAGCCGAAAGAGGGCACGACAGATGCCATCGATGTAAGGCACCGGGCCGTGTCGTTGGATCGAGTGCCACCTCGCTGACAGAACCTCAGTTCGGGCCCATTTGTCTCGGGACGGATGTGACTTATCCTACTTCAGGTCAAGACGAAGACTGCTTATACGCCAACGTCTGGTCGCCAACAAACACGACGGCTGACTCGAAGCTTCCTGTATGGTTGTTCATTCAAGGCGGTGGTAAGGTCCCCTCTACTCACACGACATTGCTCCATTTAGAGATGAGAGTCGACTCGTGTTCAGGCTCTTGTGTGTCGTTCTCTTCGTAAGCTCTGATCTGACACTACTTAAGGTTACACCTCAAATGCCAATCCAAATTGGAACGGCTCTCAAGTTGTAGATGTCTCGGGCAAAAATGTTGTCTTTGTAAATTTCAACTACAGAGTCGGACTTTGGGGATTCCTGGCGAGTGACCGGGTTCGAAAAGACGGCGAGCTGAACGTGGGACTCTTGGACCAACGATTAATGATGAAATGGGTTCAGACTCATATATCAAAGGTAAATTCTCATAATCCTTTCATGCCATTTTCATCCATACTCACATGCAGTACAGTTTGGAGGTGACCCAAATCATGTAGTCATCCACGGCCTCTCAGCCGGAGCAGGCTCGGTCGCCCTCCACCTCGCAGCTTACGGCGGACGCGACGACAAGCTCTTCATAGGCGCCATGTCCGAGTCGGTCTTCTTTCCCGCGCAGCCTCGTGTTCCGGAGCTCGAGTACCAGTTCAACCAGACGCTGGCCAAGGTAGGCTGCACAGATGATAAGGATCAGATGGGCTGTCTGCGCGGTAAAGACATCAAAGCGATCCAGGACGCCAATATCGCATCGCCGTTTCCGGGGAGGGCGGCAAACCCGCACTTCTACTGGACTCCGTGTATAGATGGCGACATTCTACAAGATTACCCGTACCGGCTCTATGACAAGGGTTCATTCATCAAAGTCCCCGTCCTCTTTGGGACAGGAAGCAACGGTTAGTCCCGTCATTATAATGCAACAGCGACTGAGGTACTAACGCACTCCTTCAGAGGGATCCGTCTTCGCCGCCAACGTCGCAACCCAAGACGAATTCGTCTCCTTCATGACAGACAACTACCCCAAACTCACAAAGAACGAAACCGACCCGATGCTGCAAAAGTACCCCCTGTTGCCGCCGCTCCCGAACCACAACGTCTGGTTCCCGTCCACCAGCCAAGCCTACGGCGAGACGACCTTCATCTGCCCCGCCAATACCATCATGAACGCCTACGCGGCCGCCAACCGCTCCGGGACGAGCTGGTCCTACCGCTTCAACGTCCAGGACAACGACAACACGGCCTCCGGCCTCGGCGTCCCGCACGTCTTTGAGGCGCCTGCCATTTTCGGCATCGACGCGTGCCCGACGCCCGACAGTTTCCGGACGTATAACAAACCCATTGTCTCGCTGATGATGAAGTACGTCATCTCGTTTGTGCGCGATCTCAACCCCAACACGTATAAGCTCGCGGGTGCGCCAGACTGGGGCGATTGGGGACGGAATCAGTCGCGGTTCGTGTTTGAGTTGAATAAGAACCGGATGGAGAACGTCGATGATGGGCAGAGGGACCGGTGTAACTTTTGGAAGGGGATCGTGGAGGTCATGGAGCAGTGAGAGGCGTTTTTCTTGGATATAGAGAGTGCCGCGGACCATGGATAATGAGGCGTTTGCATCTGCTGGGTTGGCCTTCTTATTTTTCTTGTGCATACGAGTAGATGGCATATCGGGTTGATACCAGCATTGGATGATACACATAATGTGTATATTTCAGATTTCTTCTACTGCATAATTCAACATCGCTTTAACAGTATGTGTCTTTTTCTCCAAGGACTATCGATCTTCTTCACCACATAGCAGCCTATTATCGCAATATGATAGAGTTAAGTGAGAGCGTATATCAATGCTACTTCAGTCGTTTGACACGATAGACTTACATGCGCTGGAGGAAGTGGATGCAGTGAAAACCACCATGGAACGACATCCTAAATGGGTAAAGTCAAGGGAAACTGTGCCGCAAATTCGGGCACAGAACGGGGCCAACCTGCATATGCTTACTTCGTATGCTCAGCAAAATCGCCATTGAACGAAGCCTGAAGTGGATAGTTGCGTCACGGACATGGCTTGGTGCCGCATTCTCTCATGTGACTGATGTCGTCGACCTCAACGCAGCGGCGCGGCGCAAGGCAGCCGCCTCAACATTCGAAACGAGTCCGTACATTGTCGTGGGCTTTTTATCCCCCCTTCCTGCGCCCGCAGAAGAAAGCGAATCTTGTGAGATCATAGAGTCGGTTTTATTTTTGACTCTGCGCAAGCTTCTCCGTGTCGTTTGTAGGATTCAGTTTCGCGTTAAACAGACTGATGACCAGAAAAAGATGCCGTTAAAGGATCTCCGAGCTGAGGTGGCACAGAAGGACGAGGAAAAGTCGGAGCGTGAAGAGCAGGCCGTATATGATGATTCGGAATGGGAACACATGGGGGCACCTATCGATGAAAAAGGTATGTCTACGTGTCCAACGTTTTTCAGATCAGTTGGGAGAAGCATTCCGAGTCTGGGAAAAGCCTGGGAGTTGACAATGCGGTAGAAACGGCTGGAGAAGAGTGTACCGAAGACAAGGAAGCCAGCCCGCCGAGTGAGGTAGCCTTCGAGAGACCGGAGCGTCGATGGCAGGGACTTCGGAGACAGGAGGATGAGGCGAAAGGGAATGTTGTTTCTGAGCTTGTAAGTTTTCGTTTCCTTTCTGACATGACGGAAGAGGTAGTGAAGCTAATCATGTCTTTTGTCTGTGGTAGCTCTTCTTCCTAGCTGGATTATTCCTATGGGCTGTCTGATGCCTCAGCTAGGAGGATTAGGGATCAATCACGGATGAATCGTGGTCTATGTAGCATGTCTCGGCGTTCGTCTTATTCGCTATGAAATGAAAATGAAGCAGGCGCTTATTCCCTTGGAGATAATGCACTACTTACACCCTTCCAACACGCATCATTTGCCTTCCCACCAGTGCCTTCACCAAATCCAACTTCAGCTGACCGCATTGTTCCTAGTAGCTGTGCTCAAGTCGCCGCTGCCGGCTGTGGACTGTTCGCCGCTGCTGGTGCTGATGGGGAGGCGGCGGCCTCGGCGGGAGCGGCTACATCTGCTGGAGCGGCTGCTTCAGGTGAAGCGGGAGCCGGAGGCACAGAATCTTCCTTCTCAGGCTTACGTCCGGTGATATAGTATCTGGTCGTAGATGGGGTCAGTACCGGTTCGTGTCTCCTCTCAGATGAAACCTGTTTGTGAAGGCGGCCTATATGAATGAGGGTAGTACTTACACGGGCCAGTAAGCGTGGATATTCTTATCCTTGATATCCTTCCGGACTTCCATGAGGAAGACCTCGACCTCGCTGCGAGACCAGTCGTGGCCGCGGGTCAACGCAGCCATGGAGAATCCTTCGAGGCCCGTGAGCATGTTCTCGCAGTTCCAGATGCCGATTTCTTTCCACTTGTGTTCCTTCGGCCACGAGTTGCTGGGCCACTTTGTCACCGTCATTTGGACGTCGACAAAGCCAGCCTCCACCATGACATCTTTTAGCGGAGGAACTTTAGCAAAAGGGCGTCCAAATTTCTCTGAAGCCTCCTGAAGTAAGGCTGCCCATCTGAGCAGTGCAGAATCGGGTTTCAGCGTTCCATCGTCGGAGGTTGGGGCAAGGTCGATTTCTTGCAGTTCGACCCACCCACCTGGCTCGAGGTTACTTTGGGTTGTGTCTTGTTAGCTCTCTATATTTCCCCAGGCAGTTTTATTGAGAAATGAAACAAGGATTGTCCTCACTCATAGCACTTTTTCAGATAATTTGCCCAACTGCTGATGCCTGAAGTGATGACTCTGCTATGAATGTACTGGAAAGGTCGCGAGTACAACCACGGGTCTTCAGCATCGTCGACTTCGAATCGAACGTTGGGAGGTACACTGTAAGAACTCATCAGTCTCTGCTTTCGGGAAGTACATTGGGATTGATCCGTACTAGGCAGGTAGTGTTGGAGACAAGTCAAAGGCAAGGACCTGTGAAGATATTACGTCAGTTATAATTCGAACTTCCTTATTCCCCACTTGACTACGCAATTGTCTGTAAGAATTTGAGCTGAGGGAATGCTTACCTCGGATTCTGGGTGCTCGTCTCCAAAGTCAAGAGCCCAGATACCGCTGCCGGTGCCCACATCGAGAACTCGCCCGACCTTGGCACCAGGTTGACAGGGTGGAGCAACACCGAGATTGTTGTCGGTGACAAGAAGCCACATTGAATGGGTCAAATCTGGGCGCATCGTGAATGAGAAGAAACATCATGGGGGAGGTATTCTTTGGCTCATACATACCCAGTCTCTCTAGCTCTCTATCGTCGTTGGGAATGATGTACGCTACTTAAGTCAGAGGTGTTGCGCAAACGAATCACGTAAATGGACCTACTTCCATCTTTGTACCGATGGTAGGTTCTGCCATTCTCCTGTCGATATTCAAGAATAGACTCCCGAAGGCTGGTGCTCGACGAAGCCACGCTCTAAATTGATAAAACGGCGTTCAGCAAGATTTTCGAGAGGTTTCAGTGAAGGCAGCGAACAAAGTATACAACGATGGCCATCAACTTACACTTCCAATTTCTGACTGTGAGTCTCCTTGAACTGAGTCCTCCGGCTTTGAGGAGTGTTAGGACTTGTCTAAAGAATGACTTCATGTTCGTGATGGCATACCTCCTCTTGATCGACGGCAAGCGAAACTGGTTCGTTGTCTTGGGACATGTTGCACGTTCTGACGTTAACTATTTCCGAATTCAACGAGAAAGATTGCTGATGGGAAACTACAGAACACAGCGCGATATCAGATTGCCAATAAGCTATAAACCGTGATAATAATCGAAGTTGGCGTGGGGGGGAAGCAATTGTTTTGTGGCGAGAACAGAAGAGTTTATGCGAGCCCCTCTTCGTGGTCGGGGTGCGCTGCAAAACCAACAGGCAAACACGCATATGCACCTCGGCGGTGCATTTCTCTCATTACAGACATTTGTGGACCTATAGGATTCGCGGTCGAATGAGATCCTGGGAGATTGAAGCGTTAACGACAGCTGGAGGCAGATATCTCCAACCGAAGGGTTGCGTTGGTGACCGGGACACTAGTTTCTGGGAACCCAGAATCGGAAAGAGATCCGTATCCGCGGCACAGGTGCTCATCCACATTTGCTGCCAAGGCGAAGACTCGGCAAACAACAATGACGGACCTTGTTTTCGTTCCACGATAAATTTAATGCGGTATAAGGCCATGCAGTCGCGGCACGCCGAGGGCTTGAGACATACCAGTGTTCAGTCCAGGTCAAGACGAGAATAGAGAACGCCATGGACCTGAATGCTTTCCTAAGAGCACAAGGGTGCTAACATGCGGTCACGAGATCTGCGCACCAGCACAGGGTGATAGCATAATAGGCTCTTGTGCGAAATGTGACCTTTTGCTTTTCATGTACTTGCCATTGACGTCTGAATCCGGCTTGCTATTCGTGGAGTACAAGGCATCACATCCCTGCGATGCCCTAGGATGGACCTAGACTAAGGCAACTAGAGCCTAGATCCCGTCCAGAATGCAAGATGTGCTCAACAACATGAGGCTTGGGAATCAAGATATCGAAGGAAAACGCTTTTGTGTATACATTATCTTCCTAAAAGAACAGCGACTTAAATCTGTTGTTAAATAAGCTAAGTAACACACTATCATATTTAGCACTTTTCTCTTATCGGTACTTAAGTCTGTCTTCAGCACTATCCTTGTTTCCCGACTGGGAGTGAACCCTCCAGATCTACATATGGATTGGAGAATTCATCTCGTGTAACGAGACCGCCAATCTTTGATCGCAAGTTACGGGTCCCGCTTGCCGAACTCCTCGTCAAAAACGGACAGCCCTGTGGACGCAAGTCTGTGAAGTTGAAGGTGGGCATACTGGATGTAAGACCGTTCCTCTCGAATTCCTTATTTCCATCGACTTCACGGGTCTATCAATGAAGCCTAGGTCAGAGTCGGAAGAGACAGAGGCCATAGTAGGAATCAGGCGCCGAGTACCCACCAACTAATATGGTTTGCGTCCGATGATGCAATACCTGGGTCGAGTCAACATCATAACGCGTATCTGATTGCTAGGAATGCTTACGCTGGCCACCACGCATGGATGGTCCTATCCTGGATATTGTCCCGCACATCAACGAGAAAATCTTCAACCTCGGTGGGCGTCCATTTTAGGGCGCGTGTTAAAGCCGCCATTGTGAAGCCTTCAAGGCCGCCAGAAACGTTCTCGCCATGCCACATACCAATTTCTTTATACTTTGGGTCTTTGGGCCAAGTGTTGGTAGGCCACTTGCATAGACTGAGCGATACATCCACAAATCCAACCTCCACAAGTAGGTCCTTCAGTGGCGGGATATCGACGTAGGGGCGGCCGAACTTCTCTGATGCCTCAAGTAGAAGACTACACCATCTCATCAAAGGATGCGAGGGTGTGAGGGTGCCATCGTCTGATCGCGGAAAGAGATCGAACTCTTGTAGTTCAATCCATCCACCAGGTTCAAGATTACTATATTTCCCCTTGTCAGTGTGTAACTCATGCTTGAGGTTATTTAATTCCCGGCAGAGGTCACGGGTAAGCCTGAGGTGCATAGACTCACTCAAAACAGCGACGTAAATAGAGCTCCCAGTCACCAATACTGGATGTCATCACCCGGCTATGGATGTAGGAAAAGGGCCGCGACCAAGTCCAATCTTCCTCGGCATCGTCAACTTCAAATTTGACGTTCGGGGGCACGCTATGGTGAAGTTAATTTGCTAGGAACTATTTCTTGTAAGTCAAGCCTTTGTTGCAGTCAACTCACTAGATTGGAAGAGTTGGAGACAGGTCGATACCATATACCTGTGACGCAGTCTCAGTCAAACACTGTATATTCAAAACATGTGTAATATCAAGAAACAAAGAAGCTTTGAATACGTATTGGAGGCAGCCCACAATCTTACCTCAGATTCAGGATGCTCGTCACCAAAGTCGAGGACCCAGATGCCGGAGCCAGTTCCGACGTCAAGCACCCGACCGACTTGGGCACCCTCCATGCAAGGTGGGGCCATGCCAAGTTTGTCATCTAGAGCAAGAAGCCATAAGTGGTGCTGTAGATCTAAGTCAAGTATTAGAGAAACGACTGAACAAGGAATGTGATCATTTGGAAATTTTACCAAGCCTGTCTAGTTCCTTTTCATCATTGGGTAGGTTGTATTCTATAGCCGGATAAGAGAGAGTCTTTCAAGGAGGGACTGAAGCCCGGAAACACATACTTCCATCCTTGTATCGGTGGTACGTCCTACCATTCTCGGTGCGATACTCAAGAAGTGATTTACGAAGACTGACGCTCGATGGGACTATACTCTAGAGGATGAAGGGATGTGTCAGTTATTGGCTGTCCTCAAGTTCAGGGCAATAGCCCCTGTGACGCAGGCTTGAGCTTACGTGCATATCTGCTATACCTTCCTGTTTCCGCATCAATTAGCCCACGTCTGACAGAAGATTTGTATTCGAATCGAAGCCATTTTTCCCTTACATCGTCCACATCAAGATCGGTAACATTGTTGTCATGAGCCATGGCGGCCGTGCGTATTGGCTCTTCCGATACTGCTGTAATTTTCTCCTCGGGTCTTGATTTCAAGTACTATTGACATGGTATGCCAAAAATGTTGAAAGAATTAACAGTCGCGGGGGTGGAACGCGGGCCTTGCAACCCTTTTGTGTGAAGTCCAATCCCGACCATGCCAGTTCGCCTTTGGCGGACCCCTCTTGGTCGCCAGAGACTCCAACGGGCAAACATGCATATGCGCGTTACTCCTGCGGCACAGACAGCTGTGGACCTGAAGAAGACGCAGCGCGTTGGAAGGTCACCAGGTGACGAGATTGAGCTTTGGACATGGGGAAAAACAATGTTTCTTGCGAGTGGATAGCAATGTCTGTCACTCCAACTGCCCAAGTCCTAGTCCATTCATCCTTGTTCTCGAAGGCTTTTGGACGGCTTTTGGGCGAACGCCGGCACTAACAATCCGTTATCTATCGAGTCAAACGTGCCAAACACGCTGAGTAGTTCCCATTTACAGACTAAATGTACCAGGGTCGGGCTTCGAGAGAATGCCATCCCAACCAAGATTACCCAATACGGCCCTTAAGACGCTGCCCAAGGTCACTGCATCCGCCGGGACTTTTCGTTGGGGCATGATCAAATTGTGACCAACTTCCACTGCATTAAGTCATTCCCCTAAAGTTCCTCGAATGTACAGATCTGCAGGTTTGATGATGTCGTCGTTCGGAACCGTAATAATGAAGGACTGAAAGTTCCCCAACCCATGCGACGCTCCCGAGCCGCGCTAGGAAGGGCTGACACTAAGACCCATTAGACTGAGGTTAAATGCAACCTTCGTACAATCACACAATCGAACTTCACATCTCGGAAGCCTCGGATTTTATAATTGAATTTTCGACTACCTAAATGAGATATATGGCATGTTTGGGCTCACAAGGCCCAAGGTATCTAACGATGACCAAACTACCCCCGATGAATCCTCTCACTATTGAGCACTCATACTTTCCTATGTGTGCTCTGCCTCAAGACGTAGCCGGAGCTGACGGTTGGGCTGAGGGAGAAGCAGGAGCCTCCGGGGACGCCGGAGCCGGGGGAGCAGGAGTGTCATTCTTCTCCGGCTTGCGCCCGATGATGCAGTAACTGATCAAAGTATCAATACACGAATCCGCTCGACATCTTACATTGCAATTGGCCAGAAGACTTACGTTGGAGTGTATCCATGAATCATCCTATTCTTGACTTCGTTCCGTACTTCCATGAGGAAGACGGTAACCTCCTCAGGGCTCCAGTCAAGAGCGCGCGTCAAAGCGGCCATGGTGAATCCCTCGAGGCCAGTCGTCGAGTTCTCGTAATGCAGTCTTCCAATCTGCTTGTACTTCTCATCCTTGGGCCAGTCGTTGAGAGGCCATTTGTACGTTGTGATAGAAACGTCGACGAAGCCAGCATTTGTCACGTTGTGTACAAGGTCTTTAGGGTCGATGTAAGGGCGCCCAAGCTTTTCGGTTGCCTCTGTGAGCAACGTGCTCCATCTCCGTGTTGCAGAGTCGGCCTTGAGGGTGCCGTCATCGGACGTGGTGAAGATGTCGAGTTCCTGTAGTTCGACCCATCCGCCAGGCGTGAGATTACTTGAGTGGCACCGAGTTAGCTCACATTCGATGAACCTTGTTGTCTGTTTGATAGAACAATCATAATGACATGAAAAGGAAATTCTGCATACTCGTAACATCTGCGGAGGTAAAGATCCCAATCGCTAATGCTCCCGGTCATGACTCTGCTGTGGATGTAGTCAAACGGCCGGGACCACGTCCACTCCTCCTCGACGTCGTCGATCTCGAACTTAACATTTGGAGGCACGCTATAAGGCCCATATCAGTTTCTTTACACGTGTGCGTTGACGTAGTCTCCCGCTGACTATCAAACGAAAAAAGGGTCACACATACTAGTCAGGGAGAGTCGGGGAGAGGTCAATGCCAATGACCTATGCAAGCCGCTGTGTTAGAGACTATAGTAGGTGGAAACGACACATAAAAGAGTGCCAAGGGCTACCTCGGTGGTACATAAAGTATCTTACCTCAGCGTCAGGGTGTTCGTCTGCGTAGGCAATCGCCCAAATACCGCTGCCGGTGCCGACATCGAGAACTCTACCAACCTCTGCACCTAATTTGCAAGGCGGAGCAATTCCAGAAGCGAAGTCGAGAGAAATAGCCCAGAGCTCATCTTGCAAGTCTGGAAACAATTTTTAGCGGCACGCTCATACTGCCATTAGGATGTTGGAGTTACCTAGTCTTTCCATTTCCCGCTCATCATTGGGCACCGTGTATTCTGAGATGACGTTAGGGCGCTTCTACAAATAGAATTACAACAGAACATACTTCCGTCTTTGTATCGGTGATAGGTCCGGCCATTCTCAATACGGTAATCCATAATAGAGTCACGGAGACTAGTGCTTGACGAAGCGATGCTCTGATCGCATATCAATAGGTCAGATTGAGCGCGTCATGATTCAAGTGAGTGGGCGATTCATTCTTACGCTTCCTATCTCTGAACGAGAGTCATCTTGCTAAGGAAAAAGTCAGAAAGTCAATGACTTGTAGACGGGATGGCCTTGTCATTGCATCACAGAGCTATCGTAGATATCTTACCTCCTCGTCTACGACGAGCGCGGGAGTGCCGGCATTGTTTGCTGCGGCCATGATGGCGAACTTTAAAGTATATTAGATTAGCAAGGGCGTCGATGACTTTCGTGTTACTCTGGCTGGTTGATGTTTCCGATGAAGATGCGATCGGAATACCTCACACAGCGTAGAATTATGAACACTGGGATTATCAACGAGGAGGGATATGGCTGAGGGGCCATCGATGTTTTTGTGACAAAAACAGAAGATCTCAGTTCGTCACCCCTCTTGTGAGCCGGGGGTCGGCGAAGGAACCAACGAGCAAACATGCATATGCATCTCGACGGTGCAGTTTCCACATTGCAGACAATTGCGGGGCAGAAAAAACTATGGTCGAATGAAGAGACAAAGAATGCGACATGGGCATGTGAAGACAACTTCCAACAGCATCCCGCGATCTAACCACTTGCCACTTCAGTCATTCAACCCCTGCAACCGCAAAATCTGGACTGCCCACTATCGGAAGCCGTCCCGTGTCCGCGGTGCGCCAAACCCTCATCCATGTTTACGAGTTTTCGATAGCTCAGTCACTATGCCCAGTCTCGGTAAGAAAGGAGCTTGGCCAAGTGCGGAAATCTCATCGGACAATGGTGTTGGTATCGGAAATCTAGTATCGATGTGCATTGTTGGGGCGCTCACCCCGCCCAGTCGACTCACTTCTACCCGCTCGTCGTCGACGGTCGTCCTTGGCACCTTGATCCCCTTCAACTCTCGGCTATATCAATATTTTCTAAGCTTGAGGTGCAGCAGGGGCATCCTTCTTCAAAGGCTTTCTGCCAACAATAGTGTAGCTATATTCAAATATTATTAGCGAAAAAAGTTGACGTCTAGCCTTACAGCCATGGCAGCGGTTTCTAACTTACATCGGCATGTACGAGTGTACTTTGGGGTTTCTCATATCCTTCCGGACGTCAATGAGGAATATCTGAACTTCTTCTTTAGTCCAGTCGTGTGCGCGCGTCAGAGGGGCTAGAGCCAGAGCCTCTGCAGCGTCCACAAAATTGTGATAATTCCACTGGCCAATCGTCTTATGATAAGGGTCTTTGGGCCAGGGGTTAGAGGGCCACTTGAACTTGTCGAGAACGACGTCCTCGAAGCCGACCTCGGTCAAGATGTCTTTCAATTCGGGACAGGGAACGAAGGCACGTCCGAACTTTGCGGCGGCTTCCCGAACCAATCTGCCGAACTCAGCGAGAGGTGCCTTGGGTGCCAGAGTTTCATCATCAGAGGTGAAAACAAAATCGTTTTCCTGAATCTCGAAGTAGCCACCAGGAACAAGATTGCTATGATTGAAGAGGACGTCAGTCGACTGGCTTTAAATGCCCTCTAATTTGGGGGGCTCTGAGGGTTGAATGCTGTGACAATGATCACGTCAGACTCACTCGTAGGCCTTAGTGACCAGCTTTTTCCAATCGGCAATCGAACCATTCAGGAAGCGGATGTGAATGTAATCAAAAGGTCTCGAGTAGAGCCAGTCCTCTTCAACATCATCGACCTCAAAGTGGACGTTCGGCGGGACGCTAAAATCTCCAACATTAGCAAGAGGCTCGTCTTGAGGTTTGATGCGTTCTCAAGAGGAGGGGCAACTTACTCTCTTGGCTGAATTGGCGAGAGATCAACGCCTAAAACCTACTCCCCGACTTTATCAGGCAACTTTCTTACACATAGATCATCAGCAAAACTCACCTCTGTTTCGGGGTGTTGATCACCATAGTCTATGGCCCATAGCCCAGTTCCTGTGCCAAGATCCAGGATGCGCCCAACATTGGCGCCTTCCTCCGCAGGCGGCGCAAATCCCATCTTGCCATGAAAGGTGAGATTACAGATCTCGCTCTGCATATCTGTCCTCAGTGTTAGTTTAAGAGTATGGGAAAACAGGCCCCCAAGGCGCCTCACCGAGTCTCTCATTCTCTTGGTCGTCGTTGGGAAAGGCATATTCTAAAATAGCTCATCAGAATCACCCTTGGATTAATCAGAGTCGGAGGAGTCTCTCTCACTGCCGTCCTTGTACTTATGATACGACCTGCCATTCTCTATCCGATACTCGAGGATTGAGCTTTTCACACTTGTGGTTTCTGAGCGAAGACTTTCGAGATCCACCTCGCTGTCAGAGATCTGAAGTGGTGGTTAGCTGTAAGGCTGAATGTGCCCCGTCACTTCCCGATGATGCTTACTTCGTCATCAGCGACGAGGAATTCCTCGGGATGCTCCTCGGGTGCAGCAGCCATGGTAGCAATATGTCGTACTCGGACGCGTTGCTGAGTGGGTTCAGATGTAAGCCAAGACCCTGGGATAACTTCTTGCTGAAGAAATGTTAAGCGACAAGACTTCAGGATTAAACGAGGGAGACGACGACTTGAAGTTTTTGAAGGTGGGCAGATGAATCGACCCCTCTTTGTCGACCCAACCGCGGCCTGTCACCCGGCCACCATTCACAACAGCGAGGTGCAGGGCGCATGATGCAGGCGAGCGGCGACGTTGCCTCTTTGCAGACCGAAAAAACTGGAGATGCGGCAGGGGATAGGAGAAGGCATCCCCCCCCCCCCCCGCGGGAGGCGGGCTTAACACCCGCCAGGCTAGTGCCTGTTTCTTAGCCGCACCAAACGACTAGAGGGTTCTCAAAACAGACAACAAACACACGTTTGCTCTGAAATGTAGCGATAGATCTCATCCTCTTGTCGACCATCCTAGGTCAACATTCAACAGCGATAAGTCAATATGATTTCCTACCACTCAGTATCAACAAGCTTAGAGTCAATAGGCAATGGGGCACCCAGCATGACTGGGAGGAAATCGACTGAGTTTATTAAGCAACTATTCGAAGGCTCCAAATCAGTGCTGTCGGTGCCACACTTTCTGATAGGCCAGTCACAACTGCCGTTGTATCATATGAGACATCTTCGAAGTTCAGAGCCATGTCATGTCATCTTCCCAGAGAGGCCGATATCTGAGCTGAAATCTGGCAATCCGTCTTGATGAAGCGATCAAACAGCATGATAAGGCCTTGTGAAGGCCTTGTGAATCACTGTGGTGAAGTTGAGACCTCAGCTGGAGTGGGCTCAGTAGCCGCCGGCTTAGTCGCCGCCTCCAATGGCTTCCTACCCACAAGCGTGTAGCTACAACGTTGTCAGAAAGAATTTCAGCACGGATGAGCACGAAAACATATTTGGACTTACATGGGAAAGTAGGAGTGAACCTTCGGATCCCGAAGGTCCTTCCGCACCTCGGCGGCGAACAACAGGACCTCCTCCTTGGTCCAGCCGTGCACCCGAGTCAACGGTGCCAAGGAGACAGTCTCAACTGCGCCACCAAAGTTGTGGTAATTCCACTCTCCGATCTTCTTGTACTTGGGGTCCTTGGCCCAAGGATTCGTAGGCCACTTGAAGACGGTCAGCTCCACGTCTTCGAACCCGACCTCTGTGAGGACGTCCTTCAGATCAGGAACATGGACCAGGGGCACACCCATCTCCACGTAAGCTTCGCGGATCAGGGCGCCGAACCTAGACAATGCCTTCTCGGGGGGCAATGTTCCATCGTCGGCGGCTGGGGACATGTCTGACTCCTGTATCTCGTACCATCCGCCGGGCGTGAGGTGGCTATGTGTTTGGAAAGCGTGTCAGATATCCTTCGCGGAGTTGTACTTTAGTGATAAGACTTACTCGTAGGCCTTCTTGATCATCTTCTTCCAGTCGCTGATGCCGCCCGTGATGATTCGACTGTGAATGTAGTCGAATGGCTGTGAATAAAGCCACTCCTCCTCGATATCATCAATCTCGAATCTCACATTAGGCGGAACGCTGTGAGAGATGAACGATCAGTCTTCTGGGTGTCTTGTCATGGCCAACCGGTCATTCATGGGGGGTCAACATACTCTGACGGCTGCACAGGAGAAAGGTCCATGCCCAGCACCTAAACGACGGGTGGTCGTTAGCAATCTTTCGATCATTGCGTTCAAGGAGTGGGCAGCGTCACAAGAATTGAAGACTCACTTCGGCTTCAGGATGCAGATCCGCAAAATCGATTGCCCACAATCCAGTACCCGTGCCGAGATCGAGAACACGACCAACTTTTGCGCCAGGCTCACATGGAGGGGTGATGCCGAGCTTTCCATCCCACGTGAGATAGAAGATCTCATGCTGCATATCTAGTAAGCCCTGTCAGTGGGATAAGATACTAGCCGGTGATAGTCTGCCTTACCAAGTCTATCGAGCTCTTTCTCATCATTGGGAACTAGGTATTCTAGCGAAGCTGGTCAACCGCTGGATGCAGTCGGAGAGCGCCTGCTTTACCTACTGCCATCCTTGTACTTATGATAAGTTCGACCATTTTCTTGGCGCCACTCGAGCATAGATGCCTTGATGCTCGTCGTCTCTGATTGAATACTCTGTCAAAAGAGCAGCATGAGTAAGGAGATCTAAGTAGTGAGAATACCGCGAGATTGGTGTTGTCCTTACCTCGAGATCAGCCTCGCTGTCGGTCACGTCAACCTAAACTTTGCATTAGTTGTCATCTACTTGGTGTTTAAAGTTGCAGTTACACGTACATGGTCTTCAGCAACAAGCTGGACCTCGTTATTCACGATGGAAGCCATGCTCGCAGGTGCTCGTTCGCGCAGTGAACAAGGTATCCAACCTTGATGGTTCTCCTTCAAACAGAAATATGGGCAACGTGAGAGCGCGAATCTTGACGAGACGCAAAAGGCGTTTGGGCAGCGGGGGAGGCACCGACTTGTCTATTTGTTGCGACCAAAACATTCGATTGTAACCCCCTCTTTCCGGCCCATGTTTCTGAGCAGGGCCAACAGAACGAAATGTGCATTGCATAATGCAAGTACGGCGGCCAAGTTGTCTCCATTTAGAAGGAAAATGTGGGACGGAGAGGGGACCGTCGTTTGTTGCTTGGTATCGAGGCGCCCAAACCCATGGTAGAGCCGTTGGATGCAACGCCCGACCTTCTGAATCTGTCCGGAGCCGAGGCGAAGGTCCGAGTCACCCCGGCTTCAGCCACACGATTGATTCGCTTTGTGTTTTTGACGAGCCGGGCAAAGATTGAGTTCTGTTTCTTTTGTATTGAGAGAAGAGATGATTCCGAATAGAAAAAGAGGTTGGGCTTTACGGCTTCTTCCTTGTCATTCCCGCTTCCTAACCATGTTTTGCCCCAAGGTAGTGGCCTACTTCTTACAATCTCTGTTCAATTCTCTACTCTTCATTCCGATTCTGGCTTCCGACCAACAACAAAATACCTAAGTTGCTCAAGTCAGCATGCAAAGCGTATTCGACCGTGATAATAAAACAGAGACGGCTTACATGGGGACATAGGTATGGTGGTTCTTGTTAGCCAGGTCCTTCCGGACTTCAGCCAAAAAGACATTCACCTCCTCCCTAGTCCACTTATGAGCGCGCGTCAGAGGCGCAATAGAGATAGCCTCGAGACCGGCGTTGCTATTCTCAAAGCCCCAAGCGCCCAGTTCCTTGAACGAAGGATCTTTGGGCCAGGTATTGATGGGCCACTTGTACCGGCTCAGCGTCACGTCCTTGAAGCCCACATCGACCATCAGTGTCTTCAAGGAAGACACCGAGACGTACTCGCGCCCAAAGATGGCCGCGGCTTCCTTGAGGAGGTTACCGTACTTGGCCAAGGGACAATCGGCAGGGAACGTGCCGTCGTCGGACTGGAACTCCATCTCTGGCTCCTGCAACTCTAGATAGCCGCCAGGTTGGATGTGACTTACACTCATTAGCAGACAGCTATTGAGCAAAGGCCGGGAGTAAAACTCGCACTTACTTGAAGCATTTAGTGAGGTACGCCTTCCAGTCTGCGATACTTGACGACATGAAGCGACTGTGGATGTAGTCGAATGGGATGGTATACGTCCACTCCTCGTCAATGTCGTCGATTTCAAATTTGACATTCGTAGCTACGCTAAGACATCCGACCTCTTAGTCATCTCTCCCGATAGCTTCACGAATTCAGAAACCTACATGTCTGGCTGCGTAGCGGATAAGTCAACGCCGAGAACCTGTTCACGGTCAACGCTGATTCAAATTTTTTCACGTTTGAGCTTGCCTCGGCTTCGGGATGATCGTCGCCAAACTGAATAGCCCAGATGCCTGTGCCCGTGCCAACATCCAATACTCTGCCAACCTTGACACCAGGCTGGCATGGAGGTGCTAGTCCCAGCCGACCACCGAGTGTTATGAGGCATATGTGATGTTGCATATCTAACAGTGTCAGACAAGTAAGCCGCACGCTTGAGATATCCCAAGGACTCCGTGGAGGTGACATACCCATTCTATCATTCTCTTGCTCATCGTTGGGAATCACATATTCTTGTTACCGATATAGTCAGCACGGCTTTACAAGAGGCATGGAGCATGTTTCTCACTCCCGTCTTTGTAGCGATGGTACGTCCGTCCATTTTCGAACCGATAGTCCAAGATTGAGCCACTGAGGCTGGTGCTTGAGGAAGCAATGCTTTCAATATCTGCTCGGCTGTCTTCCAGAGCCTACGACTGCTATAATCTCGAGGAAATGGCACCTGTGGCACGGTCACAAACGTACCCGCTCATCCGCAACAATCTTGACCTCGTGGTCGACTTCAGCCATGATTACAAGTGTTGGTCGGGCGAGAATGTCGCGCTGTAGTTTATGGACGGTGGACAAGAGTCGATAATCTGACCAAAGGCATAGGAACAGAGGAAGAGAGAAATCTGGACAATTTTGTGGAAAAGTAACATGCCATCGCTTATAACCCCTCAATCAGACTCAACTTAAACCAACGAGGGAAATGCGCACACAACGCATGCCACCGGCGAAGTTGACCCTTGGCAGCATTCTGAGTGGACCCGAGAGAGAGCTGCCACCGAATGGAAAGCGAAGTCCTCAAGGCAGGGGTATCAAAAACGATGTCCTTTTTCTGCATGGTCCTCAACACTTGCTGTCGCGGTGACTGACTCGATATGTGACCGACTGTCCATCCCTTTCCCTGAATGTGACCGGTACAACCAACATGAACCTCGACCTCTCCTTTAGTTTCTGCGAACAAGATGACAGCACACGGATTGCTAGTCGGAAGATCTAATACGTGTCGAGGGGAGCGCTTCTCGTTATCTGACCTTCATATACGTAGCCCTAGAGGACTCTTCCGTCATGTGATTTGAAGTCGATTTACAAGACGTTCCCGTCAAGCTGTCAAAAGAGTTAACCCCCTTCCCTCCTATTCCGGCTTCCTTCCCACGATGAAATACCTTGAACAGACCAGTTAGTACAAACTTCCCATCCGAAGAAGACTTTAGACCACCACTTACACAGGGAAATACGCATGAACCTCCCGATTCCTCAAGTCTCTCCTCACATCCCCCAAGAACCCCTCAACCTCCTCACGACTTCACCTCAAAGCCCTCGTAAACGGCGCCATAGCCAACGCCTCAACCGCCCCTACAATATTCTCGTGATTATACGCCCCCAGCTCCTTGAACTTCGCCTCCTTTGGCCAGGTATTTACAGGCCACTTGTAACGACTAAGCTCCACGTCCACAAACCTAATCTCCTCCATGACGGTCTTCAGCTTCGGGACGGAGACGTACTCACGACCGAGCTGAACCATGGCCTCGCGCAGGAGGTCGCAGTACCTGTTCAGCGCACAGCCTCTTGGGAGGGAGGCGTCGTCAGATTCGGCGCGTAGATCGGGTTCTTCGAGTTCTCTATACCCGCCGGGGACGAAGTGTTGGAAGGCCTTTGTGAGGAGGTCTTTCCAGTTGGCTATGCTGGACGTCATGAAGCGGCTGTGGATGTAGTCGAATTTGTGGGCGTAGGTCCAGTCTTCTTCGAGATCGTCGATTTCGAATCTGACGTTTGGGATTACACTGAGATAGAGGGGCACGTAATCAGTCCTTTTCTTTCCCCGGGGCCTTTTTCTGGGATATCTGCCTTGATTGACTTACAACTTTGGCTGGATCGAGGACAGATCAACGCCGAGAACCTAAGGCGGGTGATTACTCAGGATACGTCCAAAGCAACTCGTTACGTCGATAGGTGCAGCTTACTTCGGCTTCCGGGTGGTCATCGCCGAATTCGATAGCCCAGATGCCGGTTCCCGTACCGAGATCGAGGACTCTTCCGACCTCGGCGCCTGCTTGGCAAGCGGGCGCAAGACCGGGTCTGCCTCCCAGCGTCATGAGGCAGATGTGGTGCTGTAGATCTATCGAAACGCGATCAGATTCTAAATCCCAGGAAAAACAAACATGTGACAACTCTCACCTAGTCTATCCATTTCCCTCTCATCGTTGGGGATATTGTACTCTTGCATTTCTTTTAGATTCACGCAGGAATGAAGAATTGGAATTCCAGGTCAGATTCTGAACTCACTCCCATCTTTATACCGATGGTAGGTTTGACCATTCTCGAAGCGGTAATCTAGAATTGAAATGGAAACGCTTGTGCCGGACGAGGCGATGCTCTTGGTCGTAACATTTAGCATATGCCGAAACGACCCACGAGAAGATTCTTGTTGGCTTACTTCGACATCTGCCTGGCCGTTGTCCAGCATCTGAGTATACGACAGGTGTCAGTCTACTGCTGCGAGGGGTTACAAACGTGCAGCTTCATGGACATAGTACCCCATCATCAGCAGAAATGACAACTTCGTGGTCAATCTCCGCCATGTTTCTCTGAGTATCGGGGACTGGAGACTTGGGATTTGGGTCACTGCTACTCGTTGCGCGTTTGCCTTGCTCAAGATACCTCGCCCTACATTCAAGAAACGGCAGGCTTAATTTAACAAGAAGGAGACCACATCATGGGGGTAGGCATTAAGTAACCCCCTCACCTTGGCGAACACGAACCAATATAACAAGACATGCAAGCCCGCGGCGAAGTTGTCCCCGTCCACAAAAGTCCACGACACCTCCATGTGGAGCCGATGAAACCGCATCTTCATCAATCCCCGCCTGGGCAGGTGAAGATGTTGAACTCACGTTTCCTGCAATCCCCGTAACCGGTGTGGAATCATGGTCATTGCTATTCACATACAAAGATAAAGTACGTGGACTGTAGACGACCCATTTTACGTATCAGTTGATCTCGATGTGGGCGGGTGTATTAGACGGAAGCCTCCCTCAGCGAGCCGTCCGGGAAGTGGATCTGCCTTGCAGACGGAACCGCGGATGAGCACCCGGCTCCGGCCCGATCCCCGCGGAGTCAACCAACTTGAGGCATTTCCAGTGAGCAGCTGTCCTGTTCCGTGGAGGTTTCGCAGGTACGGTTACAACAGTGCGTTCTCCGGGGATATGCCCAATTATGATGCCAGAAAAACTAGTCAATAGTCGACGTTGGTGAATACATGATGTCATGAGAGTTCACATCAACGAATATTGGTGTCTTCAGGAAGTCAAAGATGTGAATATGATTCATGAGGACTGACAAGGGATGATGCGCTTGAACCAAACACCCGTATTGTTACAGCCCTTTGGAGGCCATCTAGACCTGGTCCGATTATACATGTTTCTAGCTCCAACTCCTAGCTTAAACCAAACAAAAACAAAAGCTCACATCACTCCTTTGGGAACAGCTCCGCCGAAATATCCTTATCCCTTCTCTGGTGATTTGTCCGGCTTGAGCTGCTACCAATGACCGTCGGCGCGTCGCCGTCCGTGTCCGGGTCGTATTCGGCGTCATCCGCATGTTTCGCCTTCTTCAACTTCAAGCTGGCTCCGTCGTCTGAATTCGCACCCTCCTCGCTTGCCGAGTCGGCGTCGTCGTACGGGCTGACACCCGCATGTCTCGAGCTCCAGTCGGGGTCCTCCTCCGGTAGTCGCTCGTGTTCGTGCTGGGGCTGCTTGATGAAAGAGTCGATGATGTAGTACTGCATGGCGTTCATAACGAGTGGGAAGAACATCATGACGAAGAAGATTTGCAGCTGCTCATTACCCTCGGTCCACCGCAAGGCCCAGTCGCCGACGCGCGAGATCCAGGGTAGGAGGAGGAAGATGATGAGGACGCAGAATTTCATGCCAAACAGGCCGCAGAAGTAGATGAAGGACTGCTTCAACCACCACCAGGCGTTGGGAGGTGTGCCATAGTTGCCGGACCGAATCGACTCCTCGGGTTTGCCCAAGGGTGTGTACGCGACGAGGCCTGTCAGAACGCGGAGAAGTACGATGAGGATGGGGATACCGATGGTGGTCTGCAAGACGCACGTTAGTACGATGCCGGAAGGAGAACGAAAGCGAGTAGTTTACTTACATCAATAGCGAGATTGAGCAGGTAAAAGGAGCACGGGTTTGGTGTGTAATCCTCGCCGCGTCTCATCAATCTCTGCGCGTTGGCCGTGGTTGCGGGGTCCAGTGTCACAGAAAAGCGCCCTGACGTCAACATTGACATGAAGATGTTGGCGATGTGGACGAGAACCGAGCCAAACACCTGCTTCGAAACGTCGAAGAACCAGATCTTGACTGGACGTTGTGGCCGCTCTCTCCAGCGCTTGAAAACCAACGACAGCAAGGCAAGGCCGCCCAGGGCCGCCTGGACAATGAGGGCAAAGGAGCCGAGCAGGCTGCACTCGCCGTTGCCGCCTTCTTCGCCCTGTGTTGCAGCGTGGGTAGCCGTGGCCGCGGCGACAGCGCTCGTGAAGGTCGCGACGGCGCCGTCGAGGGCTTCTGTCGGGGTCGCAATAGGGGTCATGGTGCTTGCTGCTGCGTCGACTGCTGCTGTTGCTGTAGCTGCTACGAAGGCGGCGAGTGAAGTAGGAACATCTTGGGCGGCAGTCGCTATCAGGTAGGGTGGCGGAGGGGCCATTGGCCTGGCCGGGTCGGGGTGTGTTGAAATGGGACTAGCAGAGGGAGGGACAGAGAGAAAAAGGGCGGTCTCGTGCGAATGACGGGGTGATGTTTGGTCGGAAGGGGGGGCGATAAAGCGGCCGTCGGTATGTGGATGACGTTCTTTTGGGGTGGGAGGAGGGTCGATCGCTTTAGGTCGAACAACGGGTTTTTGGCTGACGGATTAGGAGCGAAGGCGAGACAAGCGCATGCAACCGCGTTGTGGATTTGGGGTACCGTAGGAAAAAGGAAGGAGTTCGAAAATTGGAATACGGCGGCAAAAGGAAGAAGCAACACAAGTAATAAACCTCCGAAAAGTCTGGGCGAGGAGGGATGTTTAAGAGAAGAGGGAAGAAAGCAAAAAAAGAGAAACACGGAGATAGAAAGAAGAGGAGCGGGCCAAGGTGTAGCGAGGAGCGGACAGGCAAAAAAGGTGATCGTCGTCGGGGATTGATGGGCCAGAAGGGCGGGCTGTCACGAGGCGGAGTAAGAAAGTGACATGCAGCACAGACTTGGGGGAGCTTCAGCCTTCAGCTTAGGCAACTGCGTTAGGTGGAGAGTTGATATCTTGGCACCGTGGCGCCTTGGTACCAAAGTAAGGTAGGTATGAGCCACGGTCAGTGAGCGGTCTGGCGTTTGTGTCTGTTCGAGCAAGCACCTCAAGATGGTGATGATGATGAGCAGATCTATTGGTGGTAGCTATTGATGAGTAAAGGCACGATACCACGGATACATACAAAGAGTACCGTAGGTGATTAGGTACTGTACGTACAATGAAATGGGAAAAAGGCAATGGCCGGGTCCTGACACAAGCTTACTTCTGATTGGGCTTAGCGTCCCCGCATACCTTAACACACCTGGCTTTGCCGCCTTGGGGGATTCTCCATTAGTCACTTTCCCACGGCCCAGACTTGCCGTAAACTCGCCTGGAGCAATACTTCCTCTGTATTACGGAGCACCTACAGGCTAGGGGGGCGGATAGACGGAGTCAGGACAGGCACGAGGGGGGCCACCAGCCAAGGCTTGTGTGTAATGTCGTTGGCTTCCACGGGTTTTACAGTTTGGAGCTTGGGCTCGGGTGGATCGAGGCGAGATTAGGAGATTTTAAAAAGGACGGAGAGACACCGCCGTCTGGATGGCACCGCCGGCGGAAGACATCACGAGATTTGTCTTTTGGGGTAAGGTACCTACCTCCCTAATAGAAGGTGAGGTAAGCTCAGGAGGCCGCGGCCAACGAGCGGACGACGGACCGGAGAAATCACCGCCGTTTAAGATCCACCACCCGACCTACCTACCTACCTACCTACCTCCTTGAACTAGGTACGACCATCACCACCTATTCGTTTCCACGGATCGTATCATGCAAAGGCCAAGAGACCTTAAACCATCAATGTGGCTGCAGCGGCCAATATCCGTCCCAAAAACCATCTGCCCTGCCTGAAAAAGCCGTTGACCTGGGCAAGCCACAACAGGACAGAATGGGACACAAGTCTGCCAAACTCTCGACACTCTCCTGCACTAACAACCTAAATGCAGGCCGGCCTGGTGCCGAGAACCCCGATTTACGAGATTCACAGGCCCTTGGCCCCATGCTCCCCCCATTTCCCCTGTCTCCGCAGACCACCGAGTCTACCCGCCGGAGCCATTGGATCGAAAGACGGCACCACCTCCGGTCCTCTTGGAAGTCAGGTACTTACTTACTCCGTAGACAATCTGCTCTATTTCGTAAAACGATGCCCAAATGGAAAATAGGGCAGGAAAAAAAGGACAGGAGGATCCGATACGAGGTCAAGAAACAAACCACAAATCCTAAACCCCACACCCGTTCGAAAATGCGATACCGAAGCCTTTGATGTGTAACTTAGTTGGATACCGCTATTATTCGGCCTCACTCCATTTCGGACTCTTGCACGACTCATCGCCATCTATCAATAGAAACATCGTTCCTTTGTTACAACCAACTAACCATCCATCAAAGAGAAAAAATTGTCACAAAAAAGCCACTCCTCTGCTGTACTCTGTTCTCCAGCCACAACCTCGCAATGTCTCGTGCTCTCAAATCATAAAGCCGCCGCTGACGGGCCAGGCGATTCGCTTCCCACAAATTTGGCTTTGCCCAGGCATCCAAACCCGTCCCGAGAAACTGGTTGCCCGGGGTTGCCCAGGGCAAACATAGCCCCCGTCTCACATCTCATCTGCATGGAAGCTGTCACGGAACGTTGACTTTGGGGGCTCGAGATTATCTCATCTGCTTGCGAACATTCCGAGGTAGCACGGCATTGCGCATCAAAGCCATCTAAACAATGCATCTTCCAAAGTAAGTACCTACTGCGTACCCATTCTTCAGCTCGGGATTGGAATGGGGACGTACGGGCACTAGTGCGAGGCTATCATGGAGTGGAATGTTTCAATCTTCGACTTTTTCGACCATGTTCTGGCCGCTGAAAGTCAAAAGATTGTCTTTCTTTTCATGGTATTATTACGGTAGGCGAGAGTCTAACATTGCCAAGTCCCCGTTCCAAATTCGCTTTTTGCATCCTATGCGCCCAAATACCTCGCGGTAGTCAACATGTCGCCATCGTAATACCTTTCAGCCTGTAGTGAGCCCAGTGAAAGTACAACCCATCTAAAAACAAATAATCGAAAAAGGAAAAAGAGCGTGATCATCAGCCCTCAAGCTATCACCAGCTTGTCCAAAGCAACACGCGCAATCTCAATAATCTTCAGGCAGTGCCGGTTCTCCTTGCTATCGTCCTTGCCCTGCGGAACCATCAGGTGATGATCTGAGTGCAGCATCGGATGGGGAAGCCCGGCCGCGACCATCTCATCGAGCTTATCGTGTCGGTTGTTCGACCGATCCTCCATCTGCTTGATGACGTCCTTCAAACCGAGGTGATGATAGGGTACCGTAGATCCCGCCCCATCTGACCTCTGAAAATCGTGTCCGTAAATGTCGATTTTCAGCAGGCCCCTGACGGATAGCCTCCAGCTGTCCGGATCCATCTCTCGGTTGTCAAACGTTTCTATCGCGCCGCAGTCGGTGTCCCGTCTGCTCAACTCGCCCCACAGCCCGCCGTACTCGGCGAAGCGGAACGTGATGTTCCTCTTCTCTTTCCTGGCCTGTGAGGCTTCGTTGTCGATGAGCTCGAGAATCTTGGCGTAGGCGTTGGCTGTGGACGGGAGGATGGCGCCCAGCATCATCATGTTTTGGAATGCCTGCATTGGAGGCGGCTTCGTTATGTCTGTGAGGCTGCAGGATGGGCAATGGATAACGTCGTGGGCCACCCTGGCGGCGGATCTGGCTATACCCATTGCAATCTTGACATCGTTTGGCAGTCTCGATAAGGCATCCAGGGAAAGGAAGATCTGAGATAGACAGGAACAAGTGGTGTTGCTGTATGCTTTAGGTGCCCCGTCCACCTCTTTGCTAGTCCCATCCTCATTTCTGGTGTTGCCAGATGTAGATGATTCTGGCGTGTTTGCGGTGGCAGTATGTGATGATGTCTCTGATGCCGTAGGAGGGGAGAGACTGGGAACCGTCTCGGGCACTTGCGCCGAGAGCAGTTCTGTAAGGCTTTTATTGATATCTTGAGGTAAACCCTCGTCAGCAGAGTCACTTTCGTCAAAGTTGATGCCACCTAACAGGTCAACACCCGCAACCCCAAACTGGAAGTCTCCGTTGGGGAACCGCGGCTCGGTGTATGCCATGGTCAAGCTCGACAGCTCGGGCGGCAGCGTCGAAGGCGGCAAGCCTTCCAAGGGGGAGAGGAGGTCAAGGTAGTTCATGCTAGAGTAGTCTTGGGTGAAGAAGGCCGAGAAGTCGGTGTCTAACGTCGGCTGCGTCATGAGTGGCATCTGCGTCTGCTGGTCTTGGTTCTCGGGCTTGTCGGGGGAGGATTGTCCTTCGGCCTCCTCGACGTGTCTACGCTTCCTTGGCCGGCCCATCTGCTTCTGAGCCGAGTAGACACACCTAAGGCCCTCCCGCCGACATCTCGAGCACCCTTCAGGTTCCTTGGTACAAGCCAGCTTTCGTGAGCCTTGTATGGGTTGTTAGCATCTATTCGATATAGACCTGAGACTCATACTTACGACACTCATCACACGCGCGATGCTTCACGACACCGGCCGCCGACTTGGACGGGCTACTACTCTGGGGCATGATTTGATATGACAAATGTGACAGGGGACTGGAGAGGCGTTGTCGTGGCTGCCTGACAATATCTGATGATTGAATTGTTCTGATTACTCAGAACTTCCCAGACTGCTGGGAGTGCGGCTTTCGGGAGGCTTATATGTAGGTGACGGAGAGTTCGTAAAAGTTGATGTGCTAATAGGGCCGATGACTCTGAATTGCAAGGTAGTGACAAGCCCAAAGGCACGACGATGAAGCCCTGGCTGCCTTAGCTCGTGGCTTGCTCTCCAGCTGAATCCCGGAGTGTTTTTTTTCCTCTTGCTCGAGGCTGCGGTATGCACGGGATGGAAGCATGCAGATGGTGACACCGACGGCCACGTTGGAAATGCAGACGTAGGTATTTGTGAGCGTGGTCCAGAGATCGGGATGAGAAAGACGGGGTGAGACACACGAGATGCGGTTGGGAAGCAAAAGGGCAAAGCTTCTCCCGGCCCACGGCGTAATTGTTGTAGGTGAGGAGCAAGCCACGCAGCACAGCTTACCCGCGTTAGCTCAAGCCCGCCCCCTAAGACCAACTCAGTCGGGGGTGGTTGCTGTACGGGATCCATTCGTAGGGCAAGGTACATCCGCCCAGTAAAAGTAGGTACACAGCAAAACGCTGCTTGGCCAGCCTCGTCACCAGTCACACCAAAGTCCTTTCTTTGAAGGATTCGGAGCGGCGTCAGCACCATGCCAACCTTGCATATGACGGAAGCCAAAGTTCAGCCATAAGTACTTTTGCTAGAAAGATAGCTTAGTTCACCGTTGAAGCTGTCTTCACTTCTCTGAGTTCATATCAGTGGTACCTCTCTAGCAACAACCGAGACCACCTATCGCTCGAGCAAAATCAAGGCTGAGCCACCTCTCAAGGTTCCCTATCCTGCTCACGCCAAGACACTTGTGGTGAATGAAAGTCTTCCTCAACTTGACAGAAAGACACCCTGAGATATGCTCTCCTCAGATTGGCATGCGAAAGAATTGGGCTTCAACGCCTTTCTCGTGTGTGCAGGATGAAATCCCCCGGTGCTTGAACTAGGTACCCTGAGGTGCCATTCGGGGGCGCTGTTATTGGCCAAGAGTGCGTAATTCGTAAAGATTTGAGTCATCGGCGTAAGTGCCTTAATGTGAGTACCATGGATGCGGACAGGGCACCAGCATCACGAGAATTCTCTCCCTTGAAGCCGTTTCGGAGCAGCCCGAAGCGTCTTACCCATCACTGGCATGGTTGGGCGGGCTGACGATGGAACATGAGAATACTCACACATAAGCCCTCCATCAGGCATGGTGAGATCTCTCCGTTGCGTCCACGATCCATCAGCGTGTGTAAGGAGACACTCGGCGTCGCTGCGCCTGCTTCAGCGCGCAGTAGGCGTCCAATTGTGCCAAGAAACCACCTCGTACCCGCTGCCAATGAGTCCAATGTTACGTTGTAGTGTCTCGAGCGCTGGAAGGTTGCGTGCGCTTAGCAAGACAATAGCTGAAGGACGCCCTGTAGGGCAGCCCATGCACTGCTGCATAGGAACTGCCCATCCACCTAACCTAAAGTAATAGCCGGAATGGCGCTAGGTATTTGAGTATGGTAGAGGCGTTCTGGACGGGCTGGCAGCCACTGTGGCGCATGTGCCATTCTCTCGGTGGGTAAATATGCATTCTTCTCGAAACTCTCTGCATGTGCGGTAGTCTAAGGCCCATGACGTTCAAATCGAAACGTTTAGACAACCAGTAAGATACTAGACTTAGTCTCCTTGCATTGCTGTGTTCCAACGGGATGTGCGTGGGTGAAATTGGCGGTGTTTGTTGTAGGGCAGATTTCGGGGCAGATTTTGGAGTCGCAGTTGGGGACGAACCGGAGCGATCCCTCCACTCTTCCGTCTCGCGTCTCGGTCGACCCCGCTAGGCGGTCTGGGAAACACTAGCACCGGCCGACGGCAGAAAAAAAAAATTCCCAGAAGGCGTCCGTCCAAACCGCCTGCGCTTGCATCGCGAACCGCAAGCTCCAAAAATAGCCCTTGACAACCTCTTTTGGCTGACAATTTTTTCCACCACCACAATGGGTGCACGACAAGCGTTAGGCAAGCGGAAGGAGCCGCAGGCGGATGTACCTGCCCCTGTTGACGACGAGTTTGGCGCAACGTTGGAAGGTGTCTTGTCCGGGAGCGAAGATGATTCCGACTACGAAGAAACTTCTGAGTCTGAAGGCGAAGACAACGGCCTGAACGGCGAGGAGTCAGAGGACGAGGAAGACGAAGAGGACATTCTGAGCGACGAAATTCCATCCGATGCCGACGACGAAGACATTGCCTCGAAACTCAAGTCAACAAACTTGGGCAAGGACGCTGGCGCTGTCGACAATGACGACGACAAGCCCAACTACCGGGTCGTTACTGGCGCCAACGGCGAAGAGCGCTACGAGTACGACGAGATCAATGCCGAGTACGACTCCGACGACAGTGACGCCCAGGAGCCCGTCAACACAATCGGCAACATCCCTCTCTCTTTCTACGACTCTTACCCTCACATCGGATACGACATCAATGGCAAGAAGATTATGCGCCCGGCCGCTGGCGAGGCATTGGATGCCCTGCTCGAGACCATTGAGCTCCCCAAGGGCTGGACTGGCTTGACGGACCCCCAGACCGGCAAGCCCCTCAACCTGAGCCAGGATGAGCTGGAGCTTTTGCGCCGCGTACAGATGAACGAGGTTCCCGAAGAAGGCTACGATCCCTACCCCGTGAGTATCCACAGACTATGTGCGACATGCCTTCGAAACTAACGATACCTAGGAAATGGTCCACTGGTTCACAGCACACGAGGAGAAGATGCCTCTTAGCGCGGCGCCCGAACCGAAACGCCGTTTCGTTCCCTCCAAGCACGAGGCGAAGCGCATTGCCAAGCTCGTCAAGGCCATCAAGGACGGACACATCTTGCCGTACAAGTCGGCGGAAGAGAAGGAGAAGGAGGAAGCTGAGAAGGAAGAAGTCTACTACGACGTCTGGGCGAATGAGGAGGAGCGCCCGCCGCACGTCATGGACATCCCGGCACCCAAGCTCCCGCCTCCGGGCTACGACCTCAGTTACAACCCTCCCCCCGAGTACCTCCCGACAGAAGCTGAGAGGGAAGAGTGGGAGAAGGCGGATCCCGAGGACAGAGAGAAGGAGTACATGCCCGCCAAGTTTGATTCGTTGCGCAAGGTCCCCGCCTACGGCGAGTTCGTCAAGGAGCGCTTTGAGCGCTGTCTGGATCTTTACCTCGCTCCTCGCGTGCGCAAGAACAGGCTCAACATCGATCCCGCGTCGCTTCTTCCCAAGCTGCCCCGTCCCGAGGAGCTCAGGCCTTTCCCCACATCCTGCCAGACTGTCTTCCGCGGCCACGAAGGTCGCGTGCGGTCTTCGGCCATCAGCCCCGACGGCGAGTGGCTTGCAAGCGGCGGTGACGATGGTACTGTGCGCTTGTGGCATCTCCGCACCGGTCGTCAGGAGTGGATGGCCAAGCTCAGTCTCGATGAGGCTGTGAACGCTGTCCGCTGGCGTCCCAACAAGGAGACCTTCATACTGGCCGCTGCTGCTGGTGAAGATCTCTTCTTTGCGGTTCCTCCCCGTGGTGCGGACGGCATCGACAAGGCCAGCCGTGACATTATCGACGCTGGTTTCGGTTACGCCACACAGAACCCTCAGCCCGCAGCTGCCGTCACCAAGGAACACCCGGGCAAGTGGGCCAGACCTGGCTCCAAGCTGGAGGCTGCCGGCGTCCTGCTCAAGGCCACCGTCAGGTCCGTCATCAAGGTGATCAACTGGCACAGACGCGGAGACTTCCTCAGCACCGTCTCCCCCAACGGCCAGCGCAGCGCAGTTGCTATTCACACCCTCTCGAAGCATCTGACTCAGATTCCCTTCCGCAAGCTGCCCGGTCTCGCCCAGACGGCGCAGTTCCACCCCTCGCGGCCGCTCTTCTTCGTCGCGACCCAGCGCATGATCCGCTGCTACGACCTTCAAAGACAGGAGCTCGTCAAGGTCATCCAACCCGGCGCCCGCTGGATCTCGTCCTTTGATGTGCATTCTGGTGGTGACAACATCGTGGTGGGATCCTACGACAGACGTCTCCTGTGGCACGATCTCGACCTATCCAACCGCCCGTACAAGACGATGCGCTTCCACTCGGAGGCCATCCGCGCCGTCAAGTACCACCGCAGCTTCCCCCTGTTCGCCGACGCCAGTGACGACGGCACGCTGCAAATCTTCCACGGCAAGGTCGTGACCGATCTCATGGAGAACCCGACCATTGTGCCGGTGAAGATGCTCAAGGGCCACAAGATTGTCAACAAGCTGGGTGTCCTGGACGTGGACTGGCATCCTACGGAGCCTTGGTGTGTGAGTGCCGGCGCTGACGGCACCTGTATCCTCTGGACCTGATGAGTGAGTGCATCCATGGTTGGGGGAGGATACTTGTAAGTTTTCACAAAAAGACAGCGAGGCGTTGGGAAGAACCAAAAAGAACCAAAAGAAGGATCCTTCAACAAAACTAGACAAGTTTGCTTTTCTTCAAAAATTTGTTCATGTTAGATAATTCGCCCCCGATTTACCTACAACGCAGGATGGTGTTATTAATGGATGTCGAATTTGTACAAACCATTTTCCCCGTTATCGTGATCTTTTCAACACTTGCTGTGAACCCGGAGAGACGAGACCAGTCCCATCATACACGTATCATGAAGAGACCCTTACAAAATGCAAGATGGGGTTCAGTCACTTGGCGACGGAAGACGATGCCGAAGGGACCGAAGGGGCCGAAAACCCCACGGCGCCAGCGCAGGGTGTTTGGCTGCAAGTTTAATTAGGCGTTGGCTCGTGCGTCTGCGCCGTCTCATTTCTCATTGACGGAAGTTCAGGTGCATTTCTCCTTCGCCGTTGGGGCCGCTCGCTCTCTTGTTGATGAAGAAGGGCACTTGGCGGAATATGCGATGGAGCAACGGGCTATTCGCAAATTGACTGATTCTTAGTGCTCTTTGCAGGCTATCTGCCAGTTCTTCCCGCTCCCTTCAATCTGAAACCTGCCATGCATCAAGAGGGCGTCACACCCGCGGGGGGGCAAGTCGGTCATCTTAATCCCCAGCCGTTATTGACCACCTCACACCTCTCACAATTCTCACTCCTCGTCCTCTAGCTCCTCTCTGTTCCAGTCCCCTGGCGAATCCGAACCCACGTCATGCACAGACACCATAACCGAAGGGTTGGCTGGAGATCGCGTATCGTATGGTGCCACGGTGCCAGGTGGTATAATAGTAGTAGAGTTGTAAGGTTATTGTAAAGCGGTGGAACGCCTGGCCCCGGTTCTCAACGTCCGGGAAGAGGCACGCACGCACACTTTTCTGTGTAGGGATACAAACACGGCATGAATAACAGTGGCCCAGAACCTGCAAGGCTCACAAAGGGCCAAGGTTTCTCTGCCGTCTCTTGCGTCGGATCGCCGCTGTCATCGAACCGAGAGGAGGTGATGGTTGGAGACGAGCTTGCATAACGACGTAGCTTGTATCCGTAGTATGAAGCCTTCAAGAACTTTTCGCCCCCTCATCCTTCCTGCTTCAAGAACGGTTGACGTCCCATCCTCTTGGGATTTGGACTGTTTACCTTTTCTGCCTCGCCCGTCTTCTCATCTTGTTCACCCACCCACCCCATCCCTGACAATCTACTCCAGGTGTGCGTGTGGCCCGTATGCTCATTTCCCTCGCGAGCACCCGATCCATCATCCCGCATCGAACGAAATAATCCTTTTTATCTCTCGAATTTTCAAGGGCCGCCCGTTTCCACTTTTTCCCGTACCTTTTTGTAAGAGAGATCCAGGAAACCCTGTTCCCGCTCTCTTGGATGCTTCAGGCGCGTGGGACTTTGAAATAATTCAACAAACTGCCTGCCCCGCGCAGGCGCAACGACGTTGCTAATCTTTTTCTGTCTCTGTTCTTTCTCGGTTCCTGGCTCTATTTTCCAGATCTTTCGCGATCTTCCTCTCCGCAGCGTTACATTCAGTCCTGTTCCATCGTCATGGTCTCCTCAACTTCGTACGCCGCGGCCGCGGTGCTGGCCCTATTTGCGGCCTCCGGAACGGCCCAGAACTTCACCATTGCCAACGGCCAGATCTTCACGCCTGGGCTGGTCATCTTGGACGCGCCTCAGCCGGGGACCCCGCTGGGCGGAGGTTAGTCACCCGCCAGACACCTTTTCTCAGATATTTCAGATGAAGTTTCGCAAACAACATGAACTTTGACTTTCATCGGGCCACAAATAGTTAATACTAATACTGGTTAAACTATAGATAACCTCCATGTTGCGATTGACGTCTCGACAAACGGCAAGATGCCGCTGCCGCCGTATGCTTCGGATAGTCCGACCAAGATCTTCAATGTGACCATGTTTTTGTCAAGCTACACTACCGGCCGCAACTTCACCATCTCTAACGGCACAGCGACGGCCAATAACGCCAGTTTGGGGGAGATTATGACTCAGGAGCCCGGCAGCACGGTGAAGCACGTAAATTGGATATGGCCGGATTGTCTCGTCGGCAATGGTCAGCCCAGCTCCAGTTCCAGCGATCGCGGCGCGTACAATGTAAGTCTGGTATTTCAAATAATCTTCATGTAATTCCAATATAGCTAGGACTAACACCAATTCCCCCCAAGATCTCCATCCGCCAAAACTTCCGCCTCAACGGCGAAGATCACTACACAATCTTTGACGTGCCCATCTCCGTCACGAACAGCATCGAGCAAAAGGACAGCCGGCCCTCATGCGACGCCCTCAACAACCCGCTCCTCACCCCCGAGCAACTCAACGCCACGGCCGCCAACTCGATCGGCGTGCTCTTCGCGCCGGGCGACTCCACCACGATTGAAGTTAAATCGGGAAGCGGCAGCGACGACGGACTCGGCGGGACGAAGCCTGAGGCGACGCCCGGTGACGGTCTCGGCGCGGGAGCGAGCTTGAGGTGGAGGGATGGGGCGTATTGGTTGTGTTTGGTGAGCATCGGCGCTGCGCTGATACTCTGATCGGAGGGAGAGGGAGGCTTTTTGCCAGTTTCGTTGTGGACGAGCTGGCTGGTTACACTTGTGCCCATTCATGATACCCCCAGACGCGGAAGCTGTATTAGTACATATTTCTTAATCGAATCCCTCCCCGACGGGAGTCATAGTTCTTGTCCGTCGGCCGTCGGGTAGTGCCGAAACCGATACCGATGGGTTGTATATATAACCTTAGCACCTTACCTTTGTGCACAGATATCTCAAACGGCCGAACATTTGATGTCTTCTAGAAGTTGGCAGAGGTGAAAAACGACGATGGAGGGAAGCCAATTGGAGATAAGGTTAATTCTCTCCAACGAAAGTACGGATACACAAAAGTCTTCTCGTGTCGTCGAACTCAAGGCAGAAACCAAAGACAGTTTAAGCAAACATCAACCGATCGCTAGCAACGGGTCTATTACGCAGTAGGAAACTCATTCCCGGGACCTTGGTGATTCCCCACTCCCACCGGGTCGGTGAGTACCCGGAGCTGAGCGTCCTAGCCATCCGGTGGCCCCATGCCGCACGCGCGACGAACTGCTTCCTGGAAAAGGCAATACGCACGTCAGGTTAGGCGACGAGCCGTTACAACACTTGCAACTTGCATGTGGCCAACCACCCGCGCTTGTAGTGCACACCTACGGTTTACCATTCGGCTCAGCCTTTTTCTTAGTAGGCACTTGGGAATTATGGCACGAGGAAATGTCGATCGCAAGCTCGCAACTCACGTTTCTCACCGGCCCTTGTCCTATCACAATACTCACTAGACGGGCTCTGCATGGCAAGCCCCCCAGACTTCCGCGCCGTTTCCACAACAGCCCCCAGGATCCCCCGCACTTTCTGGCCGCACTAGACCTCGGCTGCGCGTTGCATCTCCAATCTGGAAAAGGACGTCTGCACATGGTGTGGTTGTACGACTGAAATGCGGCAAGCATTGATGGGACGGGGAAGGCGGACGGGAACTTGGATGGTCGTAGCTTCCTTTCCCACCTCACTCCCGCCAAGCATCAAGTCGGGTTGGGAGCTATTCTGCCTCTGTCACCCGGTGCGCGACGGTTGACCCTGGCCACCTTTTTCTTACTTATGACTGTTGAAACCCCCCTCGTCATTGAAACACCCTTTAACTATGGAGGGTTCGCATACCAATTGTGCGGTGGTGTCATGTTGAGATTGTCTTTCTTTTGACAATCCCTCCTGTCTTGGAAATCTGGTACAACCCAAGCTCTAATTCGAGCTTCATTGCATCGCAGCTCAAGGTTGTTGGTTGACGAATACTCACTCAATTCGCCGGCGTTAGCAAAAGCCCATCTCAGAATTGTCTGTCGGCCTGTCCTCTGGATTCATTAACATCTTCTACAAACAAAAGCCTGATCCCCTAGGGCACATCATCAGCCTGTCAACACATACTCTCACATCCCATCGCGAAACGCAGTAACAAAACACAACCTTAACGATGCCTCTACACCAGGGCTTCCTCCCGCGTGAGGGCCTCACAGCCGACCCCATCTTCCGCCTCCTCGCCAGGACCGCCCTGAACCCGTCCGTACTCCTCCCGCTCCTGCTCCTCGCCCGCTACACCAAGAAGGGCGGTGACCTCGCCATCCTCCACCCCACGGCCTTTTCGCGCATCAAGTTCCTGGCGTACTGCGCCGTCACGCGCTGGGCGAGCAGCTGGCTCTCACGGCGCGCCCTGAACAACTGGGTGGACGACCGGTACGACTGGCGCAGGGAGATTGTCCTCGTCACGGGCGGTGCTGGTGGGATTGGTGGGCATGTTGCTCGGTTGTTGGCCGAGCAGGGTGCTACTGTCGTTGTGTTGGATATCCAGGATTTGACTTTCACTGCTGGTGAGTGATCCCTTTCCCTCAATGGAGAAATCTGTGGTGATGCTCGTTTTCTGTATGGTTCATCGTCTAACACCCGCCAACAGCTTCCAACGTGCACTATTTCAAGTGCGACATCACCTCGACTGAGAAACTTGCAGCCGTGGCCAACGATATTCGTGCAAAGGTCGGCCACCCGACAGTGCTCATCAACAATGCCGGCGTGGCGCGAGGCAAGACGGTCCTCGACTCGACGGAACGAGATATCCGCTTTACCTTCGACGTCAACACGCTTGCGCACTACTGGACAACCAAGGAATTCCTCCCGCACATGGCCAAGATGAACCACGGCATGATTGTGACGGTTGCGTCGTACGCAAGCTATCTCTGCGTCCCCAACATGGTAGGATGAACTCTCGGCGCTGATCTGATTTGTCAATACAACAAAGATGATTAACTCTCACCAGGTCGACTACGGCGCGTCCAAAGCCGCCGCCATGGCGTTCCACGAGGGCATCACGGCAGAGCTCACCACCCG